AACGTCCAATCTATTCAAATTGATCTTATTTTTCTTCTGTACATTTAAAACATTCTTTCCAGAGTACGCCTCTGCAGCAACATAGTAATGAAATAAACCATAGACTGTAGAAGATAGTTGCCATTAATAAAATGTTTTGGCTGTTATAACAGAAAATACGAGAGCAAATAATATACATACAGTGGAGTATAGAATCTTCAAGATAATTATTATTACCGGTCGGATAATTATACCCTTCGATTTTTATTGATCAAGGATAGTTTTATGATTTTTTTTCCTTATGAAACGCTTCTCAGTCTGTTCAACAGGCTCGGCTTGAATAACTTGAACGTTGTACACGTAGTACCTTGTGGTACAGCCTAATCGGCCTTGGAAATGCAGAGACCGCGCTTCAGCATACTGCGACATATTATTTACATGAATGTGAGACAAGTCTTTCGGAAACGATACTCATTGGGATTTGAAACACGTTCATCTTAATTTTAAAGAAACGTTTCCATCATCTAGAATAAAACGTTGTGAAAAACTTTACGAGGGACACACAATTTCAACTCAGAACTAGATTTTTTTTCTCCTTTTTAGAGTAAGAACGTGTATGGTATTTTATATATCCATCGCAAATGATGTAAAAAATGAGTTTTTCAATGTTTTGAAATATTAAAGTACGTGTTCTTAATAACTGCAAGGATAATAAAATAATTTAAAGATTTGCTGATTTTAATTTGTGACTTGTAAAATTTCACTGTGATAGTGTGCAAGAAAGTCCAGACAATATATTTTTCCGCAAAATGTATTACCAGTGATACATTCTATAAAAAATAAACTTACAAAATTTGTCCACGATATAGGAACCACCTATATATGGTATCACTCTATTCACCAGTGAAAATTCCCTAGATAATAGTCATTTCTTTTTCTACCAATCCATCGTCCATTTACATGTTCTCTAGATGGTGAAAATTCGGAGCTTGAAAATTACTAAGGAGAAATCGGCTCACCTCGATGATATTCTTGTTGGTGAGGGACTCGTGGGGTTCGTTGTACTCGGTGTACTTGAGGAGAACCTTGTCCATGTCGGTGCTCGCATACTGATACAGTTTGTTACTTGAACTGAAGATAATCAAGGCGATCTCGCAGTCGCACAGTACCGACAACTCGTATGCCTTCTTCATTACCCCAAACTTCCTTTTGTTGAAGGTCACCTGTCGGGGGATCAGTAGAAATCAATCATCTCGCTTGTTTTCGCCATCTTGAATTATTTGTTAATCGATCAAAGATAAACTTATGGTTGATTACTTCGATATATTTTATTATTGGTGAATGTTAAATGCCACAATAATAATATTTTCATTTTATATTTTATGATAGTCCAGTTTTTAAATTCAATGCGCTGATGATGTTATGATATTCATATTGCATCCATATTAGCACATTACCATATGCTGGTAACTCCTTCAAATGAAGTTTTGTTTCCAGCAATAGCCAACGTAATACGTTGGATAAATGATTATACAACATGTGTTTTTCACAAAAAGTAGTGATTTCAGCTTTAGTAGCTTTTACTACTATTAATAGTCTTTACTACTACTTAGAATACAAAACATAACAATTTGAAGATTGGCATGATGGAACTATTATCGGTCTCAGTGCTATTTATATCGACAAAAATTACAAAAACACACATATTGCATTAGGAAAATAAACTTTGGTAGAAAAACTTTTCTTTCTTTTTTTAACAGAAGATTATGGTACCTGACGATTTCGTTCGTCCGTGATGCGCGAAATTTGAATCTTTTTTCGACCCATTGTTGCACGGCGTTGTGGAGATGGGACAATTCTTTGGAACCACTGGATGGATTAAAAGCACTGTAACAGAAAGAATAATCTTGTCTCATGTATACTTTTTAAACAAAGATGAATTGCGTATATGTAAAAAAAAAAAAATTTAATCTTTCGATGGAACGTACTTTTTCTGCAACATAACCTCTACTTTCGAAACATCTGATATATAATGCTCTTCAAATAATATTGAATAACATTATGCCTGCTTATGCAGATACTTGACTCTACTTCGAATAAAATAACAAATCTACAATGCGAAAACTGTATTGAGGTTATGTATAAAATATGAATGAATCGCTGGAAAATTGGGAAACTGAAGGGAAAAAGAGAATATAAGAAAGAATGTGAAAAGAATAACAATTCAGACAATGTATTAACATACGAGAAAAAAGACTCTAGTAATTCGTGTAAAACATTTAAATTTCCAAACGGTACTAAACGAAGCGAACGTCGTTCATTGGATAAAAATTTCTCGACAAACGAGATGAAAGAGAAGGGAAAACATAACCTAACGCGAAGCAAAAATTCACGAGGCAGATTCAAGTTTCGACGTTCTAACGATCGTCACGATGGAATTCAAGTTTGAAATGGCGGCAACTTTCGAACGGCGAACAAAAGGAACGCGATTTAACTGACAGTTTGAAAACAAAAAGCGCGCGCCTGCCCATAGAAAACTAGAGAATGTACGCGGTTCTCGCGGCACGTATATCGCATGATGCAGTTCGAAATGTGCGCGACAGAACTGGACCATGCGTTCGTTTCAAGTCTAATGGTGAAACGTATATAAAGCACGTGTTGTCGCGTTGGTTGTATCGATTAACGTCGTCCGGCGAACCAGTCAACTAACTTCGATGACACGTTAAATTCGACGGAAAATAGCGGACATGTCTCGTTCGTGTTTCCTCCATTGATGCCAACTGAAGTTCCATTATCATTCGACTAACCTCACTTTCGATTATCGTTTCGTTACTGGGAACATCGCTTGGCGGGAATTTCGAGCCACGTTATGAATGAAAGTCATTAAATATCATATTGCATTCGGAACGATGTACGAAAATTCTTGTCTGAACCGTCCTATTTAAGGTTATAAATAACTTGAACGAATAGTAAAATAATACTAGAAAAGAACGGGGAGAAGGATGAAAACGATAAAGTACAATTTTTCTGTTTAATTCACTTGAACCAAGTACCAACAAAAACAAGGTAGCCTGATTTCGTTGTCTCGATGAAATCAGGATGGAATTAATTACGACCGTTACTGCTATTACTACGGCGAGTATGACGCGTAATAAACGATCGATCCCTTTCCATTTTCTCGTCGATAGTTAACGTACGCAATAATCGACTTTGTCGCTCGAGTTTTCCTCAAAGTGTACAGATACATCGAGTTACGTGCCAATTAACAATGGCTAACGAAGGAAAACCCACGAGTTTATTAAAACTGGTATTGTGGCTCTTATTTGGGGAAATTTTCATTGGCACTGACATTATTAAAATTTACCTATCTCAATTTTGCTTTCGATGATCATTTCCACATTTCAATCTAAACTAGCAAGAATGTTTCCTTTTTTCTTAGTTTGGAAATTGGAGGTTAATTTGAAGAGAAATATACACATTTCTTTTTTTCTTTTTAATTAAATCCGTGGAGAAGAAGTTATATGAAAATTTTAGAAGCCAGAAGAAATTTGTCAATTGACGTAACAGACACTTGAATGAATCTGTAGAAGCAATTTGCAATGTTCTCAAACTGAGATAAATTGTAAGAATAATAATCTACTAATATCTCTCTCCTTTTCATTTTTTCTCTCTTCTCATCTTTTTTAAACGCCCTCTGGTCTAAATTATAGATCATTATCATACTCGACAATTGCTACGTACGTCCAGTGTAATCAATGCTATTGTAATGTCAGCGACAAATGAGTAGGAAAGTCAAGTTACGTTTGCACCAGTAGCGATTAGATATGGTGTTGGTGTTGTATCTCGACGAGATCGTCGCGACCAAAAGCTCCTAAAATCTTTGCTTTGTTTTATCTAAACTACCGTACACGCGATGGAACAAATACACACACACACACACACACACAATTATATATATATATCATATATACTATATATATATACTAATATATACTATATGTGTTATATATATAATATATTATATATACTATATATATTTTTATTATATAAATTATATATATATATTTATATACTAACACATATATACTATATATGTACTAACACGTATATACTATATATACTATATATATACTATTTATTATATATATACTATATATATAGTATATATA